TGCCCGCTTCCGCCGTGCTCTTCTGGCCCGTAAGGACGGCCGGGCGCTCACAGCGCAGGAAGTCTTGGAGTTGGTGGCGACCCACCCTGCGGGCGCCCCGCTCTACACGGACGCCAGCCAAGCCTACTGGCTTTGGGGGTCCAATGGTGCCAGGATCGGGCTGGCCATCAGGCCCCTTGGTGGAGGTGGTGTGATCAACATCTGGCTGCGACAAGCCAAGGTCACGATTTCTGGCGGCCCGGAAGTACCTGAGAATCTCCTCCGGGCGACGCTGTCGTGGACTACCCCCTGGGTGGGCAACCAACACCGCGCACCTTGCCGGGCTGCCGCGCCGCCCCCACCGGCGCCAGGGGCGCTGGGCGCGCCGCCCGCGCTGGCGCTCCCTCACGCTCCCGCTGCTGCTGCTGCCGCCGCGGCTGCGAGCCTGCCCGCCGCCTCCCCGGGGGCGAGCGCAGCGGCCCCTCCTGCTGCCGGGCCCCGCCGCCGCCGCCGCCGGCCTCGCTCGCGCTCCTCCTCTGACCGCTCCCGGAGCGGGGGGCGCGGCCGCCGCCGGGACTAGCGGGGCTCGCGGCTACCGTGCGGTCGTGGCGCGGCCAGATTCGCAGCGTGTGCTGCTCGGTTTTTGGATTCCGCTGGGAAAATGTGCCCGCGCGCCCGTCGTCCTGTCCTTGCTGCCGCTGCTGCTGCCGCCGTCGTCGTCGCCGCCGTCTCCATTGTTGTGGCTGCTGCCGCTGCTGCCGTCGTCGCCGTTGCCGTGGTGGTTGTGGTCGTGGTCGTCGTCGCCGCCCTCGTTGCCCTCGTCGCCCTCTTCGTCGTCGTCGTCGTTGCCGCCGCCGTTGTCGTCGTTGTCGTCGTCGCCGCGGTGGTCGTCGTCTCGTCGTCGTGTCTGTCTCGGTCGGGGCCCTCCTCTCCCCCCGGGCAGGCAGGGTTGCGCAGGTGGAGGAAGTGGAGGCTGCTTGCGCAGTTGCGCCGCGCACTTGTGCGCCGTCTAACTATTGGCGGGGGCAGGCGCGGTTCCCCGGGGGCCCCTAAAACTGTTCTGCATTTGTGGGACCCGGCCTTCTGGGTGCGGGCACGCGTGCGGGGCATTTGCCTCGCTGCCAGAGCCCTATTTGGGACTCAGCAACGCCTGCCCTTTGCCCAGGGTATCGGCACAACGCGGCCCACTTGGGCGCGCCCGACCCAGACCCAGACCCAGGAGGAGGAGGAGGAGGAGGAGGAGGAGGCAAGGCCCTGCGGGCCTCCGTGGGCGCCCACCTCGCCCCCGGCCGGATCCGCTCCGAGAGCCAGGCCGGGACGCACTCCAGAAGAGCGCGCCCAGCCCTCGCAGAAGGCCCGCCCTCGGCCGATGCTCCGACTGGGACCAAGAGCATCGTCCTCGCCGTCGTCGTCGTCGTCGTCGTCGTCCTCGTCGTGGTCGTCGTCGCCGTCATCCTCATCGTCCTCGTCGTGGTCGTCGTCGTCGTCGTCGTCGTCGTCGCCGTCGTCGTCCTCGTCGTCGCCGTCGTCGTCCTCGTCGTCGCCGTCGTCGTTTTCGTCGTCGCCGTCGTCGCCGTCGTCGCTGACGTCGACGTCGTCGTCGTCGTCGCCGTCGTCGCCGACGTCGTCGTCGTCCTCGTCGTCCTCGTCGTCGTCGTCGTCGTCCTCGTCGCCGTCGTCGCCGACGTCGTCGTCGTCCTCGTCGTCTTCGTCGTCGCCGTCGTCGCCGTCGTCGTCGTCGTCGTCGTCGCCGTCGTCGTCGTCGTCGTCGTCGCCGCCGTCGTCGTCGTCGTCCTCGTCGTCGTCGTCGTCGTCTTCCTCCTCGTCGTCGCTTTCGTCGTCGCCCCGGTGGCCAGCCCGCACGAGGCTCTCGCACGTGGTCGCATGGCCACGACGACGTCTGGGACGCGCACGTGGCTCGACGTGGCTCGATTCACGCGTGGCTGGTTCCGAAAACCCTGGACCCAACAACTAGACGAGCGCGTTACTACTCGCAAATGGCCCGGATCCGCCGCGGGGGATCTACGATTTGTTCCTGGAGGCGACCATGTGCTTTTCGGACGTTTGCGAGTAGGCGCTCTGCGAGTAGCGGAACACGCTCGGTGAACAACGTCTCCATCTCTCGAGGGCGCATCTTTTACCTCCGCCGCCTTCCGCCAACCTTCCCCACCGGCTTCCGCCTTCGGAGGCGGCCTCGTTTTGCTCTCGCCGCCTTCCGCCGAGGCAGGGATGGCGACTCCCTCGCTCCTCGAAAGCAAGCGGCCCTTCTTGGAACGCTCCACTGCGGAACCTCTGGAGGCCGCGTGCTGGACATGCACACGTGGAGGACCCCACCGTGCTTGGCCGAACGCGGGCCGAGCGCTGGAAATATAATTATGCGGCCACGTGGCTATCCAGCACTCTCCCAGGCCAGCCACGTCATGTGTATCCAACTTCCTGGTACATCCGCGCCCCTCCTCCTCCTCCTCCTCCTCCGCCTCCTCCTCCGCCTCCTCCTCCTCATCCTCCTCTTCCTCGTCCTCGTCTTCGTCCTCGTTCTCCTACTCCTCCTGCTCGTCCTCGTCGTCATCGTCGTCCTCCTCCTGCTACATCCGCGCCCCCGTCCATCTCACGGGCAGAATACATCCACCGGGTTCCCAGGGCAAGCGCAAGCGGAGCAAGCCCCCCAGGAAGCGCAGGCCCCCCTTCTCGGAAGCTACCGAGCACCCCCAGGCAGAGTTCTCTCCCCGAGGCCTCCGAAGGACACAGGGGACGCCGGAGGCCCACCACCGGACGCCAGAGGCCTCCGCATAGGAGACCTCCGAGGCTTATCCAGGAGATGCTGGCGCTGGCTGGACATGCTGGCGTTGCAGATGGCCGGCGCCAGAAGCGGGCCAAGGGGGGCAGAGGCGAGCATCTGACCCCAGACCATGTTGCCCGCTGCGCCCACACTGGCTCGAAGGTGTGGGGAGAAAGATTATCCAAGGGCTCCAGAGACCTCCGATGGCCTCAGCGGTTCTCCGAAGGCCGCCGAAGATTCGCCCGAGACCGACGCGGACACGAAGGAGCCCGGAAGCCTCAGAAGAGCTCCAGAGGTTACCAAAAAAGGCTCATGTGCCAACAGGACAACCAGTGAGGCGCCTCCGAGGAGGGGAGACGAAGAGGAAGGATGGATGGGGGGGCGGTGTATATAGGGAGGTGGAAGAGGAGGAGGGGGAGGAGAAGCAGAGCGAGGAGGATGATGATGAGGAGGAGGAGGAGGGGAGGAGGAAGGAGGAGGAGGAGGAGGAGGAGGAGGAGGAGGAGGAGGAGGAGGAGGAGGAGGAGGATGAGGAGGAGGAGAAACGAGCAGGGACGTGGAAGGGGAAGGCGGCATCGAAGGCCCCGTGGCCTCGGCGGGGGCGCGACGCGAGGCGGCGCGAGTCGGCGACGCTGCACGTGCCAGGAAGCCACTGCGGCGCGCGCGCGTGGGCCCCCGCCCTGCCCAGAGGGAGCGGCGGCGGGAGCGGCGGCGCGTCGAGCGGGCACTGGCCTCGGGGGTGGGTGTAGGGGGGGGTCCACCTCCTCCTTCTCCTCCTCCTCCTCCTTCTCCCTCCTCCTCCTGCTTCTCCTCCTCCTCCTCGTTTTGCCCCTCTGCCCTCCTCCTCCTCCTCCTCCTCCTCCTCCTCTTCCTCCTCCCTCCTCTCCTCCTCCCTCTCCTCCTCCTCCTTCTCCTCCTCCTCTCCTCCCCTCGTTCTGCCCCCGTGCCCCCCTCTTCCTCCTCCTCCTCCTCCTCCTCCTGCTCCTGCTCCTCCTCCTCCTCCTTCTCGTCCTCCTCTCCTCCTATTCCTCCTCCTCCTCCTTCTCCTCCATCCCTCTGCCCTGTAAGTAGCTCCTCCCCGTCGCACCACCGCGTGTCGTTGGGGCGTGCTGGGCGTTTCCCCGTTTGCGATCTTGGAGCTCGACATTTCCAACAGTCGCGCGGATGCAGGGCGGGCCGTTTTCAAAGTGGGGCTCTCGCCTTGGCACCGCGCACGTTCGTCGACAAACATCCAACATATACACGGATGGAGGGCGACCTGTCATCAAAACGGGGCCTTTGCCTTGGCGCTGCGCGCACTCGTCTTGAGCACTCTAACAATTACATGGATGGAGAACGGTTCCTTTTTCAACATGAGGCGCTCGCCGGAGACTTCCCTGACCCATCATACTCGAAGCGTGCAGGCATGCAACAACTGCATGCAGCTGCACGAACGGAGGGCGAACCGTTATCATGACAGAGCTCTCGCTCGAGATGCTCATGTGATGGGACCGTTTTTCACCAGATGGGGGGGGGTCCTCGGGACCAGAGGAGGGTCCCCTCGCCGCACTCTCCAACTGTCCTGTGGACACCTGGGCGGTTCAGCCGAGCCTTGCCCATCTTTGTGTGCAACCTCCCAGTGCCCAACGTCCCCGTGCAACCTGGGCGATGATATCTGCGCAGAGGATGCAATTCGTCTCTGGTCTGCCAGCTGATTACTGGTCTTGCCGATCCCGGCTGCAGCGCGCGCCCACAGACAAGTGCGGTCTCAAGGCAAGCCGAGACCAGCAGCAGTAGTCATGCTGAGAGAAGTGGTAGCACTTGTTTTCACATGCCTTCGTAATCGGATAGGCACGAACAGCAATTCTCAACGCCAACACCAGGACTACACGACAAATGGTGGGAGGCATGTCGCCGATTTCGATATTCACATTACTGATGGGTCATGATGGTAGCAGGAGAACCAAGAACCGAATCGGCGATCAAAATGAGTCGGATCGGCGGAAATCGGCAGCCGAGTCGGGAGGTCGCCTCGGCGGCAATGGGCAAGCTTGTAGGCCCCCATTGGGAAATCGGAATCACAATCGGAATCCGAAATCGAATCGGCTCGCAATCGGCATCGATCGAACTTGAATCGAATCGAATCGGAGGAATCGACATGAGCCTTGTGTTTGGAGCCACGATCAAGCTCAAGAAATCACGAAGGGTGCCCGTGTGCACCATACTTGTGACAATGATGGCGAAGACGACCCCGCGACTGTTATTTTCCTGCTTCTGCCCATGCGTACGCTCTTTCCGAAAGAGCGATCGTTTATGTCCGCTCAGAACCGGCAATAATTCTTGATTGGCTTGTAATAAGATTTGTCCATCCACCACTGGTTGAACCGGTGAGCATACCGATGGCCTCGCTTCCCTGGACCCTCCACCTCGTGGTACCGCCACCGCCTGTAGGTCCCGAAGTCGATGAGCTTGCGCCGCCGCGCCCAGTAGCCGTGCCGGTGGTACCAGCGCCACAGCGAGGGGTTGAGGGTGCCGTGCACGCCCTTCATCATCTTCTTCTGCTTCAGGAGGATCGCGAAGCCGAAGAGCTCAGCAGCTCTCGCGGCCGCGCTCCTCTTGGCATGAGGGGAAGAAGGTGTGAGGCAACGGCGTGGGGTGCGGACTGGCTCAGGGGGAAAGCATCAAGCTTGAATCGGTGATGCATCGCCGATTGATCGGCGCTGGCCCCCCGATGGCGAATCCGCACGATCCTGCGCCAGGGTGGGCTCATCGGGCCCCTATCGGCGATGCATGGGCGAGTGGGGATCGACGCATCCACCCCTGAGCCTATCCCCCCCCCTGACGTTGTCCCTGATCTCGGCATGACGGCAAGGTCCTGGTGGAAACTGGCACCAGAACGTGGGGGCTGTCTCCGCCAGCGGCTCTCCATCTCGAGCCGTCTCTTGACGGCCCGGGGGCCCAGGAAGCGCTTCACGGGAGGCCGAGAGCGGCGAAAAGCCTTGACGTCTCCTTCCTCCAGACCTCACCCCGAGGACGCACCGTGGCCCGTCATGGGGTTGTTTTGGGCGTCTCCGAGGGCTGGCTTCGCGTGCGGGGTTTTTTGAATGCGTAAAAGCCACGCCCTGCGGAATATGAAAACGGATGTGCGCCGCGTCCCCCTGTGACGTCCGAGAGTGGGAACCCCGCTTTGTCGACGAGGACGCCCCCCTGGAGGCCCCAAGAAACGCCAAAAAAGCGCGTGCCCCGTGCGAAACGCGAGACGTCTCCGGAGGGAAGGAGGGGGAATGGAAAAAGATCGGGAAGGAAGAGGACGAGGGAGAAATGGAGTGGAGGAGGAGGAGGAGGAGGAGGAGGAGGAGGAAAAGGAGGAGGAGGAGGAGGAGGAGGAGGAGGAGGAGGAGGAGGAAGAGGAGGAACAGAAGGGCAAGAGGTGGTGGGGAGGAGAGGAGGAGAAAGGAGAGGAGGAGGAGGAGGAGGAGGAGGAGGAGGAGGAGGAGGAGGAGGAGGAGGAGGGAGGAGGAGGAGGAGGAGGAGGAGGAGGGAGGAGGAAGAGGAGAAGGAGGAGGAGGGATAAGGATAAGGAGGAGGAGGAAAAGGAGGGGGAGGAGGTGGAGGAGGAGGAAGAGGAGGAAGAGGAGGAGGAGGAGGAGGAGGAGGAGGAGGAGGAGGATGAGGAGGAGGCGGAGGGGGAAAGAGAAGGAGGAGGAGGAGGAAGAGAAGAAGGAGGAGGAGGAGGAGAAGCAAGAGGAGCAAGAGGAGAAGGGATGGCGATGAGGGCGAAGAAACATAATATTCTATCCTATTCTACCCCATTGCGTCCACTGCGTGCCGGTCTGTGAACGAAACTCAGATTGGCTAGTGCTGAACCCTATGTTCGCGGGGTGCTGACGGCGTCATAAACTTGTGTATTTTAAAAGCCGTTGTCTCCCAGCGTGCACGGCGGGGCGATGGCGCCCAAGGTGTCGCTGGATGGCCATGAGGCGCGCAGCCCCACCACCTCTGGACAGTGCGCTACTCGGGTTTTAATCAGAATCGCTCTCGATCCAAAAATTCAAACCAACGCTTCTAAGTCGTGCTCCGAGAAGTCTTAAGAGAAAGAACAATAACCTCGGGCCCTCATTGAATTTAGTCATACCGCGCACATTAATGGAGGGGGAGGAAGAGGTGAAGGAGGAACCTGGCGAAGAAAAGCAAGGGGCGGCAGCAAGCGGCGACGGCGGCCTCACGCCTCTTGCGGGAGGGCGGTGTGTTCTCCGACCTCTACGAGCGTGCTCGGAACCGACCTCAAGTTCAGGTTCTTGGTCGGCGCGGCCGTCTTCACCCTCACGGTTGGCTTCGATGCTGTGGCGGCCATGGCCTCCATCTGCGCACCACGAAGCTCGTGCACGACCAACTGCTTATTTCTTTGTCGTTTCTTCTGCATGCATCTAAATACCTGGCCTGGCGCTGATTTCGCACTCGTGCTGTAGGCCAACAAGATCTATTTATGCTCTTTTGCTGCGCTCTTGTTCTTCGCACTCTGCGCGATCACGGAGATCCAACACCTCTCGTGCGAAGACGTCGTCGGATTCATCGCCTCGTAGTTCTTCTGCCCCTTATGCTGCTTGCGCTCTGCGTCGTGTCCTTTGCCCGGCTCCCGGGGGCCTTGCACATGTGGATGAGCTTCCACTGCGAGCGCCGTCGTGTCCAAGCACCCCTGGGGCCGGCGCGTATTCGCATCCAGCCCTGCTACCGTTTTGGCAGTCGTCACCGCTGGTCTCCTGCGTTGGTCGTCGCCGCCCAGCTTGCCGACTGCCCGGCGCTTGCTCACTTGGTTCCCCTCAGTCTTCGGAGCCGCCAGCAGCTGATCCATCTTCTTGTCCGCAGAAGTGCCCGCGGATATGGGCACGAGCAGCGCCGGGTGCAGCGAAGGAAATGTCGCAGAAAGGGGGTGCAACTTCTGCGGGAAGGTCCAGCGCAGAAAGAAAGCCAGACGGAGGACTGGGCTGCTTTGCACAAAGTGGCGGATGCTTCGTACCCCTGGCCTTGCAATTGGGTCGAACCTTCGTGGTGCGGGCGAAATTCCGCATGCGCCAAGGGCACTGATGGGTAAGTTGAGCGCAGCGAGAAGCATTGTAGATGCCATGGGCCCGATACTCGTGCGCGCGAAGCTGCTTCATGATAGCGCGCGAGTGTGCGTGTGTGTGTGTGTGTGTGCACCTTCGTTCAGCGCAGATTCACGCTTGAACAACTCGGACGTGGCTCTTGTTTGGATAGGGGTCGAGCTCTCAGGGGGCTCTCCGATATTCATCAGATCCTTCGGGGGGTCCAACTTGTCGGGCACCTCGAACGGGGCGGGCCATCCTCGTGCTCGCAGGGCCCCCTGGGCGGGACGTCTATGGCGTCCGAGCTCATTGAGATCAACTTCGAGCTGTCTTTAAGACATCGACTACGCCGGTGGCGCGGTTTGCCCTGGTGAACAATGGGCCCCGTGGACGGACGCGTGGTGTCACCTCCGAAGCCTCCGATAACGCAGTGTGCTGCATGTCGTGCGCAGGCTTAGGCGCCCCCGAGCTTCTACGTCAGATGGGGCCTGCCAGTTGGTGGTATTACCTTCCCGTCACATTGTTTGGTAGTGTCGCGCCCGTCAGCGACGCCCGTGCGTGCAGTGCGCTATATTTCCATCTATGTGATCAGCAGCTAGATGAGATAAGGGCCAAGCCTTGCTTCAACGCGAGAAACGCCTTGATCGCCGCTTCCTGGAGGGCGATATTTTTTTCCTGGGGGCCCGGCATGTCCGACTACTGCCCATCGCGTCCGCCCCGAACGAGCCGCGTCATGTGGTGTCGTGAGCCCCCAGGTTTCATGTCCATCATGGCTGCGCCATGCTTCCTGATGCCTCAGACATACTCTCGGTCTCCCCTCGAACGTGGGATCCTGCTCATTGTGAAACTATTGCATCTTGCGGTGGGCCCCCCGACAGTATGCCCGAAAAAGCATATCTTTATTGTCCTTGTTTCTCTTGAGTCCAGTCGGCGCGCTGACGCGTGCATGTAGCGACCGACCCCGCTCCTCGATGTGAAAGCTCGCCGTCTTCGCGTCCTCGCACAGGCCCGATCGGAAAGTGTCACCTGCGTGCGCATCATGTCCGAAATTGACCATCTTCTGAGTGATGATTCACGGACGTGAGCAATTTTTCGATCCTCATCCGTATCCGTCGAGGCTATCCATGTGTCTGTGTATGGGTCCAGCGCGTTGATGAACTTGTCCAGCGCGGCCGCGTCTGCCTGCAAGTCGCCGCAGCTAAGAGGCTACGGCGCCCAATCTCCAGAGTCCGTTCGAGAACGCATAAAGCCCGTGCGTGTCTCTGTATGAGCAGCCCAACATCTCCAGCAGGGCGCGAGGCATGAACCGCATCATTCAATGCTGCGTGATCGACTGGCGCGAGATCGTGGGTCTGATAACAGAGAGGCTGCCCGTGCCAAATTGCGTCGTGCCAAATGCCGCCTGGCCGCCCTCGCCAGCGAGATGTTCCGCCCCCGCCTCAGTCGGGGCTTGAAGCCAGTCGAGCTTTCAGATCCGCGTGCTGCGCGTCGAGGCCGGAGCTGTCCAGCAAAAGCCTGGCCCGCTGGGTCCAGAAGATGTGCGACGCGTTCTGCTCTGCATATTATTTGTTTGTGCCTTCCTGCGCTCTGCGCCCCGAGCTTGCGGCGCGCGCCTGCGGCGCGCGGCCGCCGCGCCGAATCGGCGATGTCGAAGCGGACCGCGGCGCTCGCCATGTCGAGGCTTCGCCATTGATATGAGCCGCGCCTCTCTATGAGTTGACCGCAGTGGAGCTGCTCGTCTTGCCTCGCCCCGCGAAGACGATGCAGTATGCCGGGGCAGTTCTCCTGGCCGCGAACAAAATCTGGGCGGCCATCGTCGCCCCCTGCGTGCGCGTCGTTGGCCGTAATCCCTGCTCCGCCGACTAATTCATCTCGTCGCCGTCGTGAGTCGCTCCAGAAGGGCCCCCCGTCGGTGCAGCAATGCCCCCCACCAATTCAGAAGACCCCCGCCAACTCTGAAATGCCTCCCACTGGCTCAGCATACCCAGCCTCCAACTCTGAAACAACTCCTGCCAATCCAGAAGACGCTCCCACCAGCCCTGCAACGCCGCCCACTAATTGAAAAAAGTTCTCCCACCAATTCTGAAGTAGATCCGCCATCTGCTGCGTCTTCGGGCCCTCGAAGATGCCGAGCGAGTTAATCAGCGTGCTCCGCCCTCGACCCAACGCCGCTGGGGATCTGCATCGCTAACTGTGTCATCAGCGTGTCCTGCAGCATGTATAGGTGCTTCTTGCGCGCCTCGATCAGGGCCAGCTTGACCCACGTGCTGGCTCCAGTCGTCTCTCGTAAGTGGATGCGTCGCCGTCAGCTCTCTCTCTCTCTCTCTCTCTCTCTCTCTCTCTCTCTCTCTCTCTCTCTCTCTCTCTCTCTCCTTCGGTCCAAGCTTAGTGTCGCCCATCGGTCGACGGTGTGCCGATGCTTGATGCCAATCCTTGTTGTTCTGCGCCGTCTCAAGCTCGATGGGCCACTTGTTCGCGTGCGTCCGAAATGCGATCAAAACGCGCATGTCTCCTTTATCTCACATTATCGGCGGCTCGCAGTCGAGCTCCATCTATTGTGGGCTTCTCGCGCGCTTCGGTAGGGCTGCCCCCCCCCCCCCCCCCCCTCCCTCTGCGACTATGCCAGAGGCACTTCAAAACATATCGGCCTGCCTGATCACGAATGCCACTCTGGATGCACTGCCCGAAACTATCCACATTAGCATGTCTGGATCGATCTATGATTTGCGATGCACTCAGACTTGCATGCCCAATTCTCGACGTCTGCGATGAAACCGTCGTGCAAGGGACCTCCTTTTAGCCGTGCTCTCATGGGCTTGTCCGGGTCCCACGAAGGAGTCGTATCTGAATCGCAGTCATGCCGAGAGCGTGTGCGAAAATCCATCACCGAAGGGGTGTGGTCTGCATTGCCTTTGAGCATTTGATAGCTGAAGGTGTCGTCCACTGCGTCGCCAAACACGAAGCGTCTGAAATTGGGCCAGCATGGCTTTGGGGATAACAGTAATATCAACCCTGGACGTCGTCGAACCTCGGAAAAATGGCCCCATACCCATTCACGACGGTTTGTGTTGGCCAGGCAGAAGAGGTGCGTATTCAGCATCATGCGCCAGTGTGATGTGTGTGGGTCCTCCTTCGCGCCCCCCTTGGTGCCACTGGCATCTGACTGGCTAGAATTGTTCATGTGCATCCAGTGTCCGCTTACATTCTGAAGTCCGCTGTGAGAGTTGCCATCCATCATCAGCAAGGGGGTACACCTTGCGGGAAAATCGGACATCACCTTTCTGATCCAATCGATGAACACTTGACAATGCTTCCGGTCCATTTCCGACTTTGGCAACACGAGCCCGTACGCCGTGATGCAATAACAACTGTAATGACCACTCCAACGATACCGAACTGTCTCCGTTGCCCTTAAAGAAATCGGGTGGATACCACGCTTGCCCAATACGAATTTTCCGAAACATCTTCGCTTCCAAGGCCAGCATACATCCACTGCTCGTACTCGTGCCCTCCTGAGTTTTGCTCGGATCTTGCTTACGGAACTTTCTCGTGGCCGACGTGGGCCGCTGCCAGACCACACGCTTTCCCACTCTTGGCGAGAGAAACTTTAGAGATCCAGCGAACGAAATCCGAGCCATTGCTTGTCCTGTTCCTGTGAAGCTTTTCTATGGCAAGTGCCAAACACGTTCAAAACGTCACGACACCTACGATGGAGGGGTAGAGCTTGAGGGTTATTTTGGGCGGCTCGCAGACGTATGGCCTGGGGCGCGATCGAAGGCTGCGCGGATGTCCTCAGAATCGGTCCGAGGAAAATTTAAGCAAGAAAGGAAACCACCCACTCACGTCCCCGCGTTCCCATTGTGAGAGCGAAAGGCCAAATATTCCAGGATGAAAGAAAAGGCTCGGACCAGTAAGGCATCTAGGAAGAGGAGGAGGGGAAGGAGGATGAAAAAGGAGGGCGAGGGGTAACGAGGATAACGGAGGGCGATAAGGGCGAGGAAAAGGGAGGGAGGACGAGGAAGAGGGCGAGGAGAAACAGGAGAGGGAGGAACAGGGAGGGCCATGAGGGCGAGGAACAGGGAGGAGGGAGGACGAGGAACAGGGCGAGGACGATCAGGAGGGCGAGGGGATGGGAGGAACAGTGATGGCGATGATGGCGAGGAGGAAGGAGGGCGATGACGAGGACGAGGAGGAGGAGGATGAGGAGGAAAAGGAAAAGGAGGAGGAGGAGGAGGAGGAGGAGGAGGAGGAGGAGGGCGAGGACCAGGAGCAGCAGCAGGAAAAGGAGGAGGAGGAGGAGGCCTCGAATTCTTCCCCCTCCGCGGCGCTCCTCGCGGCCGATCTCGCCAGGGCTGCACCCTGGCCCGCCAGGGCCGCCAGGGGGCCTTGAGCGGCGCCCACACCCGCCAGCTGCGGCGCCAAAGGGGGCCAGCAGCCGGGCCACCGGCTCAGCAGCCAGGCCGAGGCCGCCAGCGGGAGGCCTGCCGGAGGAAAAAGGATAACGCTGCATTCGTGGCATTTGAAGTCCGCCAAACCAAAAACGAGGAGGAGGAAGAGGAGGAGGAGGATGAGGAGGAGGAGGAGGAGGAAAGGAGGCCGAGGAGGAGGAGCAGGAGGACGAGGATAAGCAATAATGATACCAAACATAAAATACCACTAATAATCAGCCATATATTTTTCTACTATGAATAACATCAGCGGTCATATAGTACTGAATGCTATTAATAATGCCAACCGTAATACTGACAGTAATACTTAAAGGTGTTATGAATAAACTCAATAACGCTAATAGTTTCAGTACTGATCACAGTAGTAGTCGTGATCATAATGGTGATGACATCAATAACAATACCACTGCCAAGAAGCACAATGACAACACCAATGCTAATAACAATAATACTAGTAAAACATAACATAACATACTGCGCATGGTGACAATCATACGGGTACTACCACTCAAAGTATTAATCAGCAGCAATCTACTGACTTACGCTGGTACTACGAATATTCATACTAGCGACACAAAGAATAACAATGACGCCACTACTACGACTACGACTACGACTACTACTACTACTAACGCTATTTATACTAATAATCATGATGATACAACTGCGAATAATAATGATGATGATTCTGTAGCTAATACTAAGGATGGTACTCACCAGTAGTGCTAGTATTAATACCAATACTACTTCTAATGATGATGATACTACTACTACTACTATTACTATTAGTACCAATAATGAGTGTAATGAAAAGAACACTAAGAACAACAAGACAACTAATCACATTATTACTTGGACGAACACTACTAATGATACTACTACGAATATGAATCATACTATGGACAAGCGAGGAATACTCAGACTACTCGTACTAAGAAGAATCGTATGAGTAATAAAACGCGACACCAGCAATACTACTAGTCGTACTAAGAATGATAATACTAGTTATAATAATGAACAAGAAGAACACCATGAACGCCCGCTTCTCTGTCTCGAGAAAGGAGGAGGAGGAGGAGGAGGAGGAGGAGGAGGAGGAGGAGGAGGAGGAGAGGAGGAGGAGAGGAGGAGGAGGAGGAGGAGGAGGAGGAGGAGGAGGAGGAGGAGGAGGAGGAGGAGGAGGAGGAGGAGCGGGAGGCCGGTCGGAGGAAGACAACCCTGATCTCCGACGATGATTTTTTTCAGTCTGGGCGTTGTTCTCGATTTCAGCCCTTGGGGCTCGTTATCGGGGTCCAGGACCTTCCATGATGGATCCGGGGCGAACAGCGGGAATGGGGTGGACCTCTCCTGGGCCGCACATTCAAAAAATCGTATCGTCGGATGTCTGGGAATATTCGGCAAAAACACAAGCCTTCGGAGGCCCTCGCGGATTCTTCGGATCGGCACTGGACCCCCCCCCTGGCAGCGTCTGCAGCGCCGCGCTTGGCGCGCCAGGGAGAGGGGGGTGGTGGTGCCAGCGCAGATCTGAGAGAGCCGCGCAAAGCTGCGAGAGCTCGTGCTAGTTTTGTTCTTGTGGTCTGTTCGTTCTTCGGTAGCGGTATCGGAAGCGGTCGAGAAAGACGAGGCAATGGCAGCGGCATCGGTACCTCCTCCGCCTCCTCCTCCAAGCTTTTGCTTGAGCTGCTTGTGTGGTCGTTCTTCGGCCTACGCCGCCCAGCGGCGCGTCAGCCGCCTTGGGGCGCCCGGCCGCTGCCGCCGGCATGCCGACGGCGCCCGCCGGTGGTGGACGGACGTCCACCGGCCGCCTGGCGCCGGATCCTGGCTGGGCCCTTGCGCCCAGGATCGGCGTGCGCGGCCTCCTGGCCTGGCCAGGGGGTGCTCGCACACCGATCCTGATCATCAGCATCAGAGTCGCCGTCTCCGTCAGAGTCACCGTCACCGTCACCAGCATCATGAGCATCATCGTTATCGTCACCACCATCATCATCACCACCACCATCATCATCGTCATCAGCATCGTCGTCGTCCTCATCGTCGTCGTCGTCATCGCCATCGCCACCGCCAACGCCACCATCGTCGTCGTCGTCATTACCGTCGTCAGTGTCGTCGTCATCATCAGCGTCATTATCGTTGTCATTATCGTCGTCATTATGGTCGTCGTCGTTGCCATCATCATTACCACCAGCACCAGCACCAGCACCATCACCAGCATCCCCATCACCATCAGCATCACCATCACCACCACCATCACCATCACCATCATCATCATCAGCAGCATCAGCATCAGCATCAGCATCATAATCAGCATCATCACCTCCATCATCATCACCATCATCATCAACATCATCAGCACCACCATCATACCGTCAGCATCTTAATCATCAACCTCGTCGGCATCGTCATACATATCATCATCAGCATCATCATTATCATCATCATCATCATCATCATCACCATCACCATCACCACCATCACCACCATCACCACCATCACCACCATCACCACCATCACCACCATCACCACCATCACCACCATCACCACCATCACCACCACCACCACCACCACCACTACCACCATCATCATCATCATCATCATCATCATCATCATCATCATCATCATCATCATCATCATCATCATCATCATCATCATTATCATCATTATCATCATTATCATCATTATCATCATCATCATCATCATCATCATCATCATCATCATCATCATCATCACCATGGTCATACACCGCCAGTCCTGGGCGCAATTCAGGCCTGGCCAGGACCGTCGAGGTGGCCGGCGGACGTCCAGCCCAAGCCCGAGCGCGTGCCGCCCGCCCAAGCAAGGCGAGGCGAGGGAGGCGCGGATGGCCCTGGCCTGGGCCGGAGGGGGCTGCTGAGATTCTCCAGAGGATGGAAGTATATACTTCAAGAACAACCTAGTGGTACGATCGGAATGGGTACGGAAATAATGGTACAAAGACCGACAGCATGTCTTGTTCATTTTGAACAGGACCCGCAGTGGGTGTCGCCGCGGGCGTTGTCCATTCGAGACAGAAGGCCGCCTGCCCAACAGCGGCCGCTGTCGTTTTTCGGCAACATGTGCTGTTGGGCATCGTACACCCATTTTTGTCCGTACCCACTGTGGTGTCCAAAACCTGCAGCCATGAACTTTTGATTCGCGTGTCGCGGCAACGGCCCTGGCCAGAACCGGCGGAACATGATTTCTCCTCGGTTCCTTATGCCAACCTCTTCTCATGCGAAACTCTAAGCCTCTGAAGGTCTAAAGGAGGTCTGTCTCCGGAAATTGGCTTTTAGAGGCAGGAGAAACAGCGTAAACATAAACTTTCCGAGGTCCGCGCGGATTTCTGTGACAGCGCCGATCCAGGAAATCGGCGCGGGCCTCCGACAGCTTGGGTTTATGCAAACCTTTCTTGCTCGAAGGGTGTGCCCTTCGAAGGTCTCGGCGGGCTGTCGGTCCGATCTGCTGACGTGGCCTGGGAGGTTACTGGTCGGTGTGCCACCGCGGTGACGCCCGCTCCGTGGCCCGAGGCGTTCGCTCGTCTTTGTGGCGCCAGGGCCCCCTATGGGCCGCTGTTCTCCCAAGGCCCCCTCAAGGTGCCTCCCTGCGCCTCCCGCCCCTCCTCTCCCTTCCACGGACGGCGAGCATATCCGTATCCGCGCCCTCGCTGGAGTCTGGCGCGCCAGACTGCGGAGACGCGATCGCACATGGTTCGGCGGCCCCCGGACTTCGCAGACCTGATCCGAATCGAACCGTGAAACCACATCGGGTTTCAGACGGATCGGATCGTCAGCGAATCGTCCGAATCGAATCGAAAGCGGATCGCCGTGCCCGGCTTCGGCTGGCCCCGGCCGATGCCTTTTAATCCTCGAACCAAGCCGAGTCGAGTTGGAATCACGGCCCCAGCGGGCGAATCGAAGCGCATCGAATCGAATCGGATCGTAGGCGGCAAAGCGTCGGCGGCCTCTGGCGGCCCTCGACGGCTCGGACTTCGGCGGCCCAGGCGCGCGCCGCCGCGCAGAGTTTGGGCGCGGATCGGAGGCGCCTCCACTCGGCGTCGGCCGCGGAGGGCGGAGGGGGGGCCTGCGCGCCGCGGCTGAATCGCCGCCATCGCCGTCGCCGTCGCCGTCCTCGCCGTCGCCGTACTCGTCGTCTTCGTCGCCGTTGTCGTTCTCGCCGTCGCCGTCGTCGTCGCCGTCGTCGTTTCGCCGTCGTCTTCGTTGTCGCTGTCTCCATCTTCGTTGTCGCCGTCTTCCTCCTCGCCGACGCCGTCGCCCGCGCCGTCGCAATCGCCATCGCCGTCGTCGTCGTCGTCGTCGTCGACGTCGTCGCCGTCGCCGTCGCCGCCGCCGCCGCCACCGTCGTCGTCGTCGTCGTCGTCGTCGTCGTCGTCGTCGTCGTCGTCGTCGTCGTCGTCGTCGTCGTCGTCGTCACCGTCGTCCTTGGGGTTCTTACCTACATTCTGAACTCGCCCAAACCGCTGGCCTTAACCAATGTGTGCCCACTGGGTCGTTGCGGGGAGCTCTTGGTCCGGGTGGGCATCATCACGTCCAGGTCATATAGTCCTGCCCAGAAGGTCCTGGCCAGTAGTAAGGTATTGGCCACGCAGTCTCGGCCAAAGGTCGGCCATGAGGTCCCGTCCATAAGTCCAATCCTGGTCATCGACTGCACGCTACCAGCTGCTTATCATAGCTTGCACGACGTCAGATAACTTCACTGTTTGGTGTCCACTTGCTGTTATCATTGCCGTGCACAATCAGGGTGATCAACCTGTTGAGTATGATCGTCGTAATCGCAAGCGTCGTGGTGGTATTCGTCGCCCGCGTCGTCCTCCTCTTGCTCCCCATTCTCATCTTGGTCCTCCTCCTCGTCGTCGTCGTCGTCGCCATCGTCGTCGTCGTCGTCCTCCTCCTACTTCCTCCTTCCTCCTTCCTCCTTCCTCCTTCTGCCTTCCGCCTTTCTGCTCTCTCCTTCCTCCCCTTGCTCCTCCTCCTCCTCCTTCTCTTCCTCCTCCAACTCCTCCTCCTTCTCCTCCTCCTCCAACTCCTCCTCCGCCTCCTCCTTTTCCTCCTCCTTCTCCTCTTTGTCCTCCTTCCTCCTGCTCCTCCTGTGCAAGACTTTCGTGGGGGCGTAGCTGGGGTCCGACGAGTAAGCTGGGTGGCAAAGGCGCCCCTGAGACGGAGAACGGCCTGTGTGAGGTCGCCGTGACGGCAGTGCGGTGTCGGCACTGCGAGTGGGACAGACCGCAGAGGCGGGAGAGGATGGGGGGTGGATGCTGTGAAGCCGGTGTCGGCGGAAAGATACGTCGAGCGGGGGGCTTCGGTGCCCAGCTCGGGGTGGTCTTCCGTCGTTGGGTGTAGCACGACCCTCGGTCAGAGTAGCAATCCCCGATCGCCTGTGGATGCATGCGCAGTGTCGGCGTGGCTGGCCAGGTCGCACTGGGAGCTTCGGTGCTCAGCGCTGTGTGGTTCATTCGTCGTCCGTGTGTACACCTCTGCAGGCCTTCTGGGTAACAAAACAATCCAAGCAATCCTTCCTCCTTCCACCTCCTTCTCCTCCAGCTCCTCCTCCTTTTCCTTCATTCTTCCTCCTTTCTGCTTCCTCCTGTCTCCTTTCCCCTTCCTCCTCCTCCTCCTCCTCCTCCTCCTCCTCCTCCTCCCTCCCCTTTCCTCCGTCCTCCAACGTCTGCCTGGTAGGTTTTTTGAATCTAATAAGGAACCGCCCTTCCCTCTACTCGCGGACTGTTGCGCGCACCCCCCTGCTCACCGAGGCTGCTTCCTTCGTGTCCGCTCGGGGATGGTGCATTTCCGACATGACAGCTGATGTCTAAAGCCCCGTTCCACGCGCGCCCGCTCGAGGATGGTGCACTTCCCGCATGGCGGCTAATGTCTGAACCCCCATTCCACGTGTGCCCGCTCGAGGATGGTGCACTTCCCGCATGGCAGCTAATGTCTGAACCCTCATTTCATGCGCCTGCTCGAGGATTGTGTGCTTCCCGCATGGCTGCTAACTCCTCTACCCCTCATCCCACGCGCACCCGCTCCAGGATCGTGTACTTCCCGTATTCCCAGCCGCTGCTCCCAAGTGCTCCAGGGCCTCCCAAGCAACGGCCCCTCTGTAAACACTGTGGATATGCGTCCCCAGCTTCCAAGACGGCCCGTGCAAGCAACCACGGACACCAAGATGCCCCAACATGCCTCGAAGACGGCCCAAGATGGCCCCACGGCGGCCGAACATTGGTTCAAGACGGCTTAGGATGCCTCCACGAGGGCCCAAACTGGTCACAAGAGGACCGCCGACAAGGTCCGAAGAAACCCAAATCATTGATTCTCCTTTGAAGCCTTTTCGGGCTGCCGTCAACTCAAAGTGGCTCAAACGGACTCCACGATGGCCCAAGAGGCACCCAAGACTGCCCAAGAGGACCTCCTGTGGGACCCACGACGGCCTTAGTAAGCCCTTAGACGGCCCAAGACTGCGCCAAGACGGCCCCCAAGCACCCACATTACGGCCAAGAAGGCTCCAAACCTGCCCAAGAGAGCCCCAAATCGGCGTAGGAGGGCCCCAAGACGGCCCAACCGAGTTTCATCATCATCATCATCATCATCATCATCATCATCATCATCATCATCATCATCATCACCATCACCATCATCATTATCATCATCATGATCATCACCATCAGCATCACCATCACTATCACCATCACCATCACCATCACCACCATCACCATCACTATCACCATCACCATCATCATCATCGTGGCCGTCAGCATCATAATCATCATCATCGTCGTCATCATCATCATCGCCACTAACGTTATCATGACAATCACCATCACCATCAGTATCATCACCATCATCATCACCACTATCAGTATCGTCATCACCATCGTCATCGTCATCATCATCATCACCACCACCATCATCAACGTCATCAGCATCATCGTCATCATCACCAACAACATCATCACCATCACCATCACCATCACCATTTATCATCTCAACCACCATCATCATCATCATCACCATCATCACCATCACCATCATCATCATCACCACCATCACCACCATCACCACCACCACCATAATCATCATTCCCATCATCATCACCATCACCATCATCATCAACATCATCACCACCACTCGTCATCCTCATCCTCATTCTTCTCCTCCTCCTCCTCCTCATCCTTATCCTCATCCCGTCGTTGTCGTCGTCGTTGTCGTCATCATCCTCATCCTCGTCATCATCCTCATCATCATACTCATCATCATCACCACCATCATCATCTCACCACCATCACCATCACCATCACCATCAGAATTACCATCACCATCACCATCACCATCACCCAACATCACCATCACCATCACCATCACCATCACCATCACCATCACCATCACCGTAATCATCGTCATCACCAGCATTACCAACAACATCTCTCTTCTTAATCACCATCATCGGCATCATAATCATGATAGTAGTAGTAGTGATTATCATCATCATCAACATCATCATCATCATCGCCGTCGTCGTCATCATCATCATCACCACACACTGTCATCCTCCTAATCCTCATCATGCTCATCACGGCTCTCCCAAGCCTGGAGGCACGGGTGTAACACGTTACGGCCTCTGGTGCCACCATCGAACAATCGCCACCCAGAAAACTGTGCTGGCACGGTGGCTGGACTTGCCGCAGGCAGCTGGATAACTCCTCCCGGTCACAGGCCAGACGTGTTGGTATGGCGGGCCGGGCGTTTCGCTTGAGACCCCCCCACCATTTATGGTCCTGCAGCTGGAAAGTTGCAAGTTTTGCGGGTGGAGGCGCGTGGCTTTCAAAATGGAGCTCTCGCCTTCGCGCCGCGAGCAGTCGTCT